AAAACATATTTTCATATTTGCTTTTTCAAATGTAAGTTACAGTACACACACTTAGAGATGTGCTTTAAATGATGTAATGCGTTAAAACTCATATCTGTCGTAGAATGGGAGACAGATTGAAAATATCTGTAAGGTGCAAAATGATTTATATTTTGAAAATAATTTAAATTTGTGTCATTAGAACATTTACATAACAAGCATTTTTCCTACTTTGTGCTGTTTGCAATATCTTCCTAATCTTTTACCTTGATATATAAACTTTTGTTAGACAACGGAATATACATCAGTACCACAAAATAATTGAATGAAATCCCTTTCTCTTGCATATATTAAATTATTTTCACAACAGCTAACTTTAAGTTTTCTGTTATTCATATGCCCTCTTATTATTAAAGTTGTGTATCTAGTTTAATAATTTTTGTCCTGATTTTATTAACAGTGTTTATTTATGCACACATATAACGTTTATCCCATAACTTCAACATATCCTTATATTTTCTTTTGTTAGGAGAACGTGTGAATAGATATTACTAACACTGCAATGGAAAATGCACATATGAGAATGGGCATTAATACTATGAAGTATAAGAGTTTGCATAAAATTGCAAACCAACTTATTTATTTCTTTATCTAATGTGTCTGTCATACGTTTATACCTACCTGGAAAAGACTTTAAATATTTGTTTTAACAAGATTCTTGAATGATCTAACAGATAAATCTGGAAGTTATGTAAATTAATATGTATGTAATAAATATCATATTGCTATAAAATGAAGCTTAATTTATAAGCTATATAAAAGATGCCTTCTCTGTATCAAAGTGTATTAAAACTCAGGTATTCAGTTATTTCATAAATGTTGCTGCGCACTAGTTAGAAGACATGCATGATCATAAATTTGGAAGCATTTATGCAGGAAACCATACATTTTTCAATCTTGTTTTCTGTATCTAAATTAGTTGGTGTTGGCAAAATTTTCACTGTTTCTCTTTTTGTTACACAGGATCTAACTTGATCATGGGAGTAAAAAGTCAGCATTCACATATGAACACTGAAAGATTACTACTGAAATGCTGTAAGGCAGTGGCAAGTGAATACCTTCTCAAAATATTTCTTCTTGATTGTCTTTTTTCTCATTTATATAAAATTTTGCTTATTAAACCTATTTCTATTTCCTCTTAGCCGTAGGTGGGGCTTGAGTGTGATGCATACAGCCCTCTACATTCTCTGGCCAGTCACACACATTTTCATTGGGGTTGAAGACCAGGTTGGATGGGCAAGGCATGTGATGCTTCCTTTCTCCTTCACACATATAGTACATGGTGCAGTCTGCTTTGTCTGGGTGGTATGAGATGTGCCCATCTTCCTCTTCACAAACCACTGATGTAGCTGTAACATCAGTTAGGTTAATTAAAATTTGTCTCTCACAGTGAGAGCAAGATGTAGTTAGTTTTCTCATCAGTAGATCAAACAGTTACACAGCCATACGTGAAATTAAGTTAAAAGTCTGAACAGTTATTATTCTTTTCCAGTTTTCTAAGGAAAGACAGGCTTACAGTTTAGGTTCCACGATTTCAGTGTGTGTTTTTTGTCACTTCATAACAAATTTTGAATTAATTGAATTCACGACTTTTCATAAACTGTTTTGTCTCTAGAAGTGATCTTGTGTTTTTTTCTTTACATTACCTGCTATTACTAATGCCAACATTGTGACAGTGCAAGCTTCAGCAGCAAATGTGCCGTTAGCATAGAGTCCTGAAACTTTGTGTGATAGTAGATTTTCAAAAATAAACAACTTTTGTCAAGGCTTTTGTGTGTGTGTGTTTGTGTGAAGGGGAGCAAAAACATGACAGCAAAGACAATTCTTTATTTAGCTTTCAGTTTGGCAATGATAAGTAACGAACTACTGGACCAATCAGTATGAAATTTGTTTTACAGATACGTATCATAAACACATGGTACATACAAATTTTGATGAAATATTCATCTTTGTCAATAATCACAATTGTGACTGTGTGCCTGAATGTGTACTAGCATTAATGTGTATAAAAATGGATCACTCTTACCTTACATAATTTTTTATTTACTAGCATAAAATCTGAAGACATTTCTGCAGGTAGTTGTTAACAATTAACATTGTCAGAAAACCCTAAGATACCTGCATTTATACCAAAACACTAAACATGATAGAATAACAATATACACCAAACAGTGGTGCTACCTAGAGGAAATATTTTCAGCACAGACTGCCCTTACAAGCAAACCTTTCAAAAATACATAACCTTTCTTTTTCAACTGGCAGCAGAGCATCATAGTGGTCATTGTCTAGTTCAGCACTAAACAAGATAGAGATATTCCTTTCAGTCAAAATTAGACTACTGATAAGTTTCAATGATTGAGTGATTTTGCTCACAGATACCAAAAGACACTGACAGACTCCTTATAAGTTTCGTTAATAGGTATTGGCATTACTGCTGTAAATCACAGTCTTGTTGAATATGCACATTGTCAATAGTGGAAATTTGTCTTCCATAAAGGCCATGACTTCAGTATGGATCGACACATATGTAGTTCCCATTTCTCCTGGCAGACATACCTATACAGCAATGACTAATACATAAATACAGAATAAAGACAGAATTGTAAGCCTTAGGGGTTATATGAGGTAACTAGGTCATAAATGGAAGTAAAACAGCTGTAATGAATCTAATAATTTTCCTATGTGTATCACTAGGTAGCAGCTCAGTACAGCTTCATGATAATCTAGCTAGCAGACAGCTGGTTTCAGTAGTCAAAATGGTGACCGTTATCGAAGGGCAGCATTCTGATGTGCATTTTTTTTTGTGGGCAAAAGGACTCAATGCAAATGATATCCGTAAAGAAATGTTTCTTCTTTATTTGGGGAAGTGTTTGTCATGTAAAGCATTTCACAATTGGATCAAGAAATTCTCTCAATGATATATGAAAAATTCAGATGATGAAACAGATATGTGAAATTTTCTGAGACAACAGTCAGAAACTTGTGTGCTGTGGGTTTTGAGGCACTGGTGTAGCAATGGGACAAGTGTATCACTGTTGGTGGAGGATATGTTGAGAAGTAAAAGATTTCCTGTTTTGAATATCACATGTTTTCCATTTTATACCCATTTGTGACCTATTTACTGACTCTTCCTTGTATATAAGGCTAATTCCTTCTGGCCTTGCAATATGGATTGAAGCACTTTAAGGAAAGGAGGAATTATTATTTCTTCCAAAACTTCATATTTGCAGTTAATTCTACTGTTGTTACATAATTGCAAACTATGATATAATGTCTTGCTTAATTGTTTTCCTGAAAATGGACGTGAATGTACATTACTTACGATCTTTAGTAGTGTAAGCACCACCCCCACCAGTTCCCTCATATGGCCCATCATATTCCAGTTTCACTGTATATCCTTCCAGTTCTTGCCTCATTGCGTTAATCAGTGGGTACTTGCCAGTTCCACACTGACCACGGAAGTCGTCCATATCCACAGACCAAATCATGATACCTCCAAAGCCTTCCTCCTTGAGCCAGGCCATCTGTTTGACAGAGAGAGGAATGCATGAAAACATCCTTTTGCAACTAATCTCAGTGGTGTAGAATTAGTAGCACAAATGAAGAGCTATGCAATTATCCCATCATATCATCTTTCCTCTTAATTGACGATAACAAAATACAGGTATATGTCTAGAGCCTGAACTGCTGATCACCTTGTTAAAAAGTTGAGCTTCAGATAGAACTTTGTCTTTGTGCAAAGGTAAAGTGAATGCAGCTGAAGAAGTGTGAGTGTGATAAATTTACTTATAAACGTTCTCCAACCGGGATTTTTAACCAAACAGCTGTATTATTTGTAGTCAGTGGAACTTTGTCCATTTGAATATTTTATTCATAATTGAAGTTTTTCTTTTGTTGTTCTGGTGCAGTTTAATGTTAAGGACCTGCATTAAAAATTGAGAGGAAAATTTAATTATAATCTGTATTGGTCTGATATAATCTTTACTTTATGTGAAGCTCAAATCAAAATTTGCCAGCTTTCTCAAAAACAGCTATATACAAAATGTTCATGCACAATAAAAAATACAGACCTCATTAAGAGTTTCAGCTTTTATCTTAAATCAGTCAGTTTTTGATATGGTGAATGTTTAACAGCAAACTAAGGAAATGTAATTTCTGAGCTTGTGGATCTGAAGCTCAATTAGCGATGTAATAGTGGATTTCTATCTGAAATAAATAAACATCAACTACATTCTGACATCCAAAATCACAGAGAACATAAAGACTTTACTCTCTTTACTGTGAGAACTTTAGATTTGTCACAAAAAACATTTTCAGAAAGCTCTGCTAAAGTGACCTTTCCACTCTTGTCATTTACAAAGAAATTACCTTTGTCTTGAGACTCCTTTCATCATCAAAGCCAACCCACTGGTCCTTGCGATAAGCAAATGGCACTTGCTGTTCATTGTCCCAAACCAGAGTTGTGTTCTCACCATGCAGGAAATCACAGACCTACAACAGAATATTGTGGCATATAGACCAATTGCTAGGTGAAGACCTCAAAATGAAAGAGTACAACCATTGCTACACAATAGACAAATAAACAAATGGCCGTTTCTGAATAACAGCATGGTAAACACATTCCCACAGAAATGAGATGCACACAATAATAGAGTTACAATGAAAATGGGGTGTTTTCTATGTGGTCACTGCCAAGAAATTAAAAAGAAGACAATCTGGGAAATTCATTTCAGTTGTCAGTTGAAAGTCAGCCTGTGAAGATAAGACTAAGAGGTTGGTGTGAAATGGCTGGCAACCTGTGACCCAGTAAGTTGAGAGTTGAGCTCTGCAAGGGAGGCTGAGAAGAGATGGTGCTATACTCGTAGTTGATTTGACAGTTGACAAGAGTTCTGCATGGACGGCTGTGACAAGAGGACCTGAGTGCAGGAAGATGAAGAATCTCCACTGTTAGAAGCCGTTGCTAAGGAATGACTGTTGGAGACACAGCAGGCTGAGAAAAGACTTATGTATGCTATTGATTTTTGAAGTGTCTAGATTGGCAATAGCACTGTAATTACTTGTATTTCCAAGTGATGTGTATAAGTGTTCAATAAATCCAATATCCAATCCATACCCCGTCTATAGTCACACTCCTAAAACGTGACTATATTTTGTATTTACACCTCATGTTTGTGTTTCGTGAAGTGTCCTATATATGTTGTTATAAAATAATGTCAAGGCTGGAAAACTTGTTTGGTGGAAGAATTGGAGTCGCCTCCTCCTCTTCCTCTTCTTCTTCTGTTATTGTTGTTTTTATAAATGTTACAGATGTGTAACATTTTCAGATTAGTTTTTTATATATGTGTAACATCTTATATGAGATGAGTAATGCACACAAAATATTAGTAAGAAAACCTCTAGGGAGGAAACCATATGGAAGAATGAGACACATCAAGAGAATAATACTGGAACAGTTTTCACTCACTCATGGAGCTGAGCCCTTCTTGAGAAGCCGCTAATTTTGCAGCTACTCAAGAACTTCTAACAATTTTATGGAACCCAAAGGTTCATTACCATATTCACAAGAGCCCTCTGCCAGTCCCTATCCTGAACCAGGTCGATCCAGTCCATACCATCCCACCCTATCTTTATAAGATCCATTTTAATACTGTTCACCCAGCTACGTCTTGGTCTTCCTAATGGTCTCTTTCCTTCTGGCTTTCCCATCAATATCCTGTACGCATTCCTTGTCTCCCCCATTTGTACTACATGCCCTGCCCACCTCACCCTCCTTGACCTGATCATTCTAATTATACTTGGAGAAGAGTACAAGTTATGAAGCTCTTCATTATGTAATTTTCTCCAATCTCATATGACTTCATCTCTCTTCGATCCAGATATTCTCCTCAGCACTGTGTTCTCAAACACCCTTAGTCTGTGTTCTTCCCTTATTGTCAGAAACCAAGTTTCACACCCATACAGAACCACTGGCAAAATTATAGTTATGTTTCTTCCAATTTTTACGTTTTTAGACAGTAGATGAGAAGACAAAAAGTTGTGGACTGAATGGTACAAAGCATTTCCTGAATTCATTCTCTTAATTTCCTCCTGAATCAGATTTTGATTTGTTATAATCGTACTCAAATATCTGAACTGTGCCACATTTTCAAAACATCTGTTAGCTATCTTTATGTCATGATTTTGCTCTGCATTATTGGAGCAGATTTGAAAGAAAGAAAGCATGAGGATGCTTACTCTTTTCAGCTGGCTTAGGGTAGGGTCCGGTGCTGGATTCTCGCAAACATGGTAATGAACTTCAGGATTTCATAAATGCTGGAAATTTCTTAATCAGATGAATGAATATTAGATTCTTAAGTATTCTGCGCCATGGAGTTACTTATTTAGGTAATATGGGAATTTCAAAGTAAGAAATATTCTTCTCATTTATTATGATAAGAAAAACGATTTTGGATGTTACATTTAATTCACTCTTTAAGGTTCAAACTTTTGGAATTGAAGTGGAAAATAAATATCTTATTGACAACAGGACTAAAGTGACGACAAGTTATGTTATATTGTAAGGTTGGTGGTAACTTTGCCGACAAAAGGCGGTCACTCAGTCAGAATAGTTGGCTTGCGAACTGAAACCATGAAGTTTGTTTTTGTGCATTTTATAAAATGTTTAGTTTCTTCTTTCTCTTCTTTAGATATTGGATACATGTTTACTATATAGCTGATACTTGTTATTCTATGTTTGTGTGGATTGCAGGAGTTACCGGGTATTAAGGTACCTGTTTGAGTGGGTTTTCTGTATATTGTAAATTGATTTAATTTTCCCTGCAGTGTACTGAAAGATGAAGAAAGTTAATGGAGTTGTGTAATTCCTTTTCCATAGTGAATTTTGCAGTTGGTTGTCGTCTGTTGGATTTAGCCAATGTTTCATCTGTGTTTGCTTTCTTTTGGTCATAAATGAAACGAATGTTATCCACATATCTAAACTGATTATTTGTGTTTTATTAATAAAATAACTCCATGGCTTTTAGTCTGCAAGTGCACCATACTCACCGAATGACCGCCACTTGTCTGCAAAGGTAGTGCCAACTTTGCGGATAGAAAGTGTCACGTCAGCGCAACGGATTCTCACGATCGTTAATCTCGGTTTTATAGACTGGGTGTTTTATTAATATTGAGTGTATTTGTTTGTGTTCCATGTTTTTAATATACACTTCAGCTAATATTTCTGATGTTGGAGCGCCTACAGCTAGGAAAATGACAGAGGAAAAAATTTAGAAATAACTAAAAAATGTGCATTTTTTCAATATCAATATGATCTACATACACTTACAGCAGGAATTCCTGGCTTGTGATTTGTGTCATAAATACGCAGGGAACATATTATGCGATATTTTTTTTCTGCAAGACTGTGTTAAGTGGAAACTCTTAAGAAACATGAGACTGTTCAGATTCATTGAATTTTCATTATAAGCCAGTTTTAATATATTTCAGAATATGCAAATTATCTAGTAGAAAGCATTGCTAGCGTTGTGTTATTATGTATAGCTGTGAGTATGGATAGCATAAGGGGATTACCTCATAATACGACATAAAGCCAGCTTCACCGGTGTACTTGCCAGGTGTACCACCTCCAGAGGCAGGAGCTCCAATGTCAAACTTTGTGGGATCAACTAGGGTAAAAGAGCGGCCATAGGTCGGCATACCAATCATAAGTTTCTCCTTGGGGGCACCTTGCTTCACCCATTCACGTGCACTGAAGTCCTGTAAATAATAACCTTGTCTGTAATGACTACTGTCTTATATTTTCAACATTTTGTGATTTACATCAGGTACTGTTTCTAAATATAGTTAACAGGATACAGGAAGTTGTCATAGTTTTGTATTTTCTACAGCTGTTCAGGCAATACAAGAAATTAATTTGGGATTAAAAATAAAGGTGTGCAAATGTTCCAGGATATAAAGTCATTTCCATTAAATAAATATCTATCTGCTATTGAGAATTTTCAACTATAAAACCGTTCTTGGCAGAAATGATAAACTCCAGAGAACAATGAATTGTAGACTTGAGGATTCTGACGATGGTGTATGCTGTACAGAACTATTAGGCTTATTTTTTACTCTATCCATTGTCTGGTATATAGAAGACAAAGAACCACAACGTTTCGGAGACTGGATCTGTCTTCATTCTCAGGTGGATGGGGCAGGATAAACCTACTCAGTTGGGCCTACTGGACTGGTCCAGTGATTGAGACTAGCTCTTTCTAACAGGCCCAACTGAGGTCTATCCTGCCCCATCCACCTGAAGATGGAGACAGATCCAGTCTCCAAAACCTTGTGGGTTTTTGTCTTCTATATACCAGATGATGGATAGAGTCAAAAATAACTATATTCTGTACAACAATGACTTATGTTGTAAGNTTTATTTTGTTTAAAAGCTGAAAACTCTGATATTTCTGTTTTGGTAATCATGTTGAAAAAACATAAATATTTTGTCAGGTATACAATATATACTGTATATTTTAAATATTGGAATAGATTTTATCAATAAATTATTTTAGAGATTACCTGACATATTTTAACATCCTTGCAATGTTCTGATAATTTTAGTCCATAGTGTTCAAAAAAACCTAACAACTCTAGACTATACAGAAATCAAATATAGGTACTGTCATAACCCAGACCTGGAAATGCAGTTAGGCTTTGGTAGAAATTAAGATGTCATGATTACAAATTCCAGGAACAATGCATGTTGGAATGAATCCTCATTCTTACATTCTGTTAATTTCTTTTAATATGTGTTGGGTAATTTTTCTGGACTATTTTTTAATATTAATATGGAACATTACCTAGTTTTTGAAAACTATTTCCACCCCAGCTCATACCACAATATGAGGTTTGAGGTTCTCATGACAGTCAAGGCTGGTATTATTGTCTTCTTGGTTATGAAATATAGACTGGTAGGAGAGAACAAGTGTTTCAGAGGAACATACTGCCTCCATCTTCATGAAAATTTGAGATGTACATACCAGATTACATGGTTTCCTAACCCAGAAAATGGCAATGTGAATCATGCAACAGTGTTAAGATGGAACTTTCCTGTCTCCTGTGAATGATAAATTTGCTCACATGGCATTCACTACACAGTCTTATAGATTACAATGGATCAATTTTAAAAAGTCTCCATGGGGCCAAGAACATAAACTTCTTATGAGGAGATGGTAGGTTTCAAAATGTTTATAGAGTTAATTATATCCATTAGAGAAAAGCAACAGAATAAACATTGTATTCTTGCACTGAATAAATGGCTGAAAACACTTTAAATAATCAGGCTTTGAAATATACAATTCCATAGTGTTCCATCCTGTTTGTGGTGCTTACAAATAAAAATGGAGGAGGTGCCATCACACAAATGTGTTTTATATTAGCACTGTAATTTAAATGTAGTCTATCACCATTTGTGTATTTGCTAAAGAATCCCCACTTGAAGATGGCCTATCTGGGCCGAAACATGTCGTGAATTAATAAATAAATAACATATGTTCATTTAATGGCAACCCTTCCATTTTTATTCAAAATATATACTACATATTCCTTCTGTCATGGTTAAAGTCAAATTGTCTGTTTTAAATGATGTTCTTTCTAGAAGAAAATATTTAGCATAGTTTGTTCTACTTGGTTTTCAAGCAAGTTTAAAGCAAAATTTTCCATTTCCCAGAGGTTTCTGATGCTTGACTTTGGCACCTCAGGAATGCCACTAAGGAAGTGGTGGTATTGTATCCAAACACTGCACTGCTTCACTGTACTTATGAATCGGTTTACATGCTGCTCTCTTCTCTTCGTCTTCATCAGTACAGAGATCATAAAATTTCTGAACTGCACAAGAAGAAGGCTGTCAGCAGCTCTATATACTCTTCAAATGTGAATGTCATGTTCATTTTCTGAACATCTACCCAGATGAGAGAACTGAGTCATCATCTTAACTATGAGGTTCTGACATTCCACTGAATCCAGCTTTCTGATATCAATCTGCAGATACTTGACAGTATTCCTTGCTGGTGGTGACAGATTCGCTGCAGGAACTTGCCAAAGAAGACACCTACAATATTTTCATTTCAAAGACTTTATTATCCATTTGTCCTTTGATTGTGTGACTGCAATTATACTTTTGGTTTGCTCACTCATGGTTCCTTGGCTAAGCCTTGCAAGTTTCATTAATTGATTATGACATCCATTCAATGGTGTGAATTCAGTGTTTATCTTTCAGACTATTTGTTCAGGCTTCTATCTCATCATTGGACCTTGAATTAATTTATTTAACACCAGTTTCTGCCTAAAGCACTTTAGGAGCACTGATTTAATCTTCTAATAATTAGAAGTTTTCAACTGCGAGAGCTAAGACAAAACATTAAAATATTAAAAACTTCACAAGGACGAGGCCTTGCACCAGAGAACTATCAGAATGAATGTCATCCCTGGAGAGACAGATTCTGTGTATGGTACCAACTCAAAGCAGGACAAAGGATAATGTCCAGAAACATAATATTTGTATCAATGTGCCATCATCACAAACTTTTAGATCTTACGTAATTGTACATTGCTGAAAGCATGTTTTCCTTATTTGCCATAATATTAATTAGTGTTGACACTAATAATATTGCATTTGAGCATCCTGTTGCATTAATACCTTTGTATATCATTTATTTCGTACACTGTATTTCATCTACAATACAGCCAGATGGCTGGATGGTCAGAAAATCATTACTAATTACACCAAATGTCTGTCATTCATTAAGTGCCACTGAGTGCTGCTGAGTGCTATGACATATTTGATTTATGTGAGTGTCTGTTTTGTTTGCCATTCATTTCTGTATATGTGTAACATAATCTGCCAAAAACTTAAGTGTGTAAACTGTTTGATGTATGTATTTAAAATTGCTCGTTTCTGGTGGGATATCGTTTTATCTGAGAAACGTTTTGAATAGGATATAAATATATTAATCCCATGAGATTATTTTTGGGACCCAATGATTTAATTTTTTTAGGCAGGAAACAATTTTAAACAGGACCCTCTTAAGGTGGATCCACTATATTATATTTTCTAACTTACAACGGTGAGCTTCTTCTGATAGCTAGTGGCACTCTCCAAAGGATAAAGAGGGCTGTTATGCCCAACTTGCCGCTCCCACTGCCCGTGGAAATCGTATGTCATCACATTAATGAAGTCCAGGTACTTCGAAATCTCCGGAACATCGTAACTGCAAAAGCCAGTATGGGATTTTAGAATGCTGCATACAAGTTGCTGGATTTACTGGGCTACAATACCCTACAAATACACTTTATTTATGATTCCGGAGAGAAAGATTTCCTTCTTTGGAATTCTTATTAATGATCTGTGTGCATGTACTTTTTCTTCTCTACATAAATGATCTATTTAAAACCATTAACAATAAATCTAAACCAATTCTATATGCAGATGACACTAGTATAATATTTAAGAACTCTAAATTTGAAAACTTTAAAAATGACATAAATATTGTATTTGAAGCCTTCAACAGATGGTTCGAAGCCAATTTACTCTCATTAAATTTTGATAAAACCCATTACATATCATTCACAACTAAAAACAACCACCAAATTGATCTGGACATCAGTTATGCCAACAAATTAATCTGTAAAGTACTTGATACAAAATTCCTTGGAATACATGTAGACAGTACACTGTCTTGGAAAATACATATTGAACAAATTATACCTAAATTAAATGCAGCTTGCTATGCGATGAGATCAATTAAGCCTTTTATGTCACAGGAAACATTGAAGATGGTTTACCATGCCTACTTTCATTCTATTATGAACTATGGATTAATATTTTGGGGGAACTCTTCACATAGTGTAATAATTTTTAAAATACAAAAGAATATAATTAGAATCATTACAGGATGTAGAAGTAGAGATTCATGTAGAGAATTATTTAAGAAATTAAAAATTCTACCTCTTCAATCGCAATACATATTATCGCTTCTCCTATTTGTTGTTTACAACAAAGATAAATTCAAATTAAATTCTGATGTCTATAACATGAATACTAGACAAAAATATAACTTCCACCTACCCTCATCAACTTTATCAGTATATCAAAAAGGAGTCTACTTTACTGGCATAAAAGTGTTCAACAATCTGCCACAAAGTATTAAAAACTTGGGCAATGATACTAAAAAGTTTAAATCAGAGTTAAAGAATTATCTACATGCTCATTCCTTCTACTCTTTAGATGAATACTTCAATGTAAATAGAGAATGATGTAAAATTAAGTTATATTAATTTTTAAGCTAAAATTGCCTGTACTTATGTATGTAACCTTTTGACTTGTTCTGTATCCAAAGGTACTAACCTGCTTAGGATTTATAGAATGTAAATAAATTCAATTCAATTCAATTCAATGAAGCAATGAAGCTTGCTTGCTGCCTGCATCATACTGATTCTGATTGGCTTACTCTTAAAGCCTGAAGATGTAGGTGTAATTTTCTGCCAAAATGTCAGTTGCCTTTTAACGGCTTATAAGGCGTTATATTCCAGATAATAAAACTCTTCTAACTAATTCAACTGAATTAATGCCCCCCCCCTTCACCTTTTGACTTGCTGACGCAAATAGATCCAATTTTGAAACTAGACACTGCACACAGTTCAGAAAATGAGAATTATTAAGGGCAAACTGATCATATGAAATATTTTAGAATGATTACAGTAATCAATGTGTCAATGTAACCCATGAAATTATCATGAGGAAGGGTCCAAAACATATCTAAAAACAGTACAGGCCATCAGAATTCTGAAAGGTGTCATGCCATATTCTTCTGCTATAATGGGCTTACCCTGCTGCAATGGCTTCAAAGCTGGCTGGAACAGCTGCTGTAAGCAGGAGGCGAGGTTCACCAGAGCTCTTGGCCTCTCCTTCAAATGCCAATCTTAACTCCTTGAGTAGATTTACATAGGCAGCACGGTCATCAGCCCCCCTGTTCAGAGATAACAGACATGACTCCATTTATAATGTTATCAGAGAGCAAAACAGAAGAAGTTATGCACAAGTCTTATGTTTCAAGGAAATCATGAGCAGTAATGATTTTGACAAAATATGACCAAAATATAAGTCTTGTTTAACAAGCCCACAGTTAACACAATCTTTTCACTTATCCACACAGACAGACCCATAGAGACAGCTTCTGAAATATTGTGAATATCACTGATCCAAACAAAACAAAACAAAACAAAACAAAACAAAAATCTCTTATGACAATTTAATCTTGAACCAATTACCTGGGATATTCCCAGTCCACATCCAGTCCGTTGAACTTGTAGTCTCTGAGTAGCTCAATGGCTTCGTATACGAACTGGTTCATTCGGTATACGTTGGAAGTCAGTTCCTTGAATGGAGTAGACCCAAATGCCCACCCTCCAATAGCCAGCAGAATCTGCAACAAAATTATGCAATATTCAGAAATTCATTCTGTCATTACCTACAAACTTCCAAGCCTCCAGCATAAAATATTGTAGTATGCTGCATGTTTTAACTTGTGTACAGGGCCTGAGAAGGGTGGGATCCCCACCTCACTCTGAAAGTCATATAAATTTGTTAGTGTACACAATAAATAATTGTTAAAAATTGGATTTCTTATAATTTATTGAAAGAAATTTTAAATTAAATAAGAAAAACGATTTACAGTGCTTAAAATTTACATATTATTTACATTTATTTGATACATAATTTGACAATAGCACGAGAAATACCGACCAAATTAAGGGCGAATAGAATTTACATTATTGAAAATAGTTAAATCGTTAAAGAGCCCAAGGGGTTCCAAAAAAGTTACAAATTTCGCTTAGTAATTCAAAACGCCGTGTAAATCCAGCTAAAAGGGGAAGTCAGTAAATAGATCACAAATTAATATAAAAAATAAAACGTGATATACGAAACTGGCAAAAACTTTTATTTCTCGACATATCTCGACCTATTACATGCATTATAGCTGTTTTACTTCCATTTGTGACCTACTTACTGACTCTCTCTCGTAATACCGAATCGACAACTGAAAGAAAAACGAGAGAGATTTTCAGCTTTGGATTGTGCTTTAAGGGTGTAGGTTGTTTGAAACTCTATNTATCGATATATATTCTCGCATTCCTCACGGACTTTCCAGCGTTTGAAATAAGACAATCTATGTCTCTCATCTCAATATCTGGAACCGCAAACTTCGATCAGTAAATTTGTTTGTTGCAATAAGGTTCAAATTTTCAATCCATGCCCTTTATAAAAGAATGCATTTGAATGTATCTACATATTCCTATGTAGATTATAATTTGGAAACTTCACATGGCTACAGTTTTAGAAGTTCCGTTTCTTCCACAGCAGACCGAATAGTTGATGTTTGGCAAATGGTCTAACTGAATTGATTCGTGCAGACCATCTCGTTTTCGACATGGCGCGAAGTGAAACAGGAACAAGTTTCATGAAAATAGTCCATCTCCGTGGATTGCTGCTAAAGAAATTATTCATTTGCTTAATGAATTCTACCAAAGTGTAGTATAGCCTTCATGTACGTTTCAACACTGTCATCTCTTACAAGATTCGATGTGTGGTTTCCGCAGCTAGAAAACGTGCTATTAGAATTAGGTTCAAGCAAAACTGCCTGTACAGCTTTATATTTTCCTACTATATTAACGCCACAGAATGCTAATAATAATTAATACAAACTATTATCCTTCACTCTCGGGACAGTGGAGGTGACGGATGTGAGAAATAGATGTATAACAGAGATATTTTGATAGTTCATAGACAAATTATAAGACCACCTCTATGGTCTAGTGGTCAGAGATCCTAGCTACAGATTCAGAGGTTCGTGTTCGATTCCCGGCGTTACCAGATTTTCTGAGAAGTAGTGGGTCTGGAACAGGGTCCACTCAGCCTCGTGAGGATAATTGAGCAGCTATTTCAAGGTGATAGCGGCTCCGGTCTAGAAAACCGAACTTAACGGCCGTGGGAATTCGTTGCTCTTACCACGCGACACCCTCTATCCGCTAAATTTGATAATAACTTCGCCGACAAGCGGCGGTCGCTCGGTCGGTATAGTTCGCTTGCCGACTAAAACCACGGATTTTGTTGTTTTCTTTTTGTATTGACAAATTATAATTCATTTTCAATAAACGTAAAGCTATAAAAGTTAACAATTTTCGTGGACCGAGGAGTGTGTCCACAACTACACACTTCTTATAATGGCTATTATTTTTTAAACTCCTTTGTATTTATAAAAATCTAAGCACAATCCAACTGACAGACTACAAAGCAAATTTAATTTTTTTAATTTGAAATTTTCTAAACTGTGCAAACGACAATACATGACAAAAGTAAACAACTCAATTAAAAATTCCATATTTTATTTATTATAATCTTAAATTAAATAACAATGTATCCGGGGACCTCTNTTTCAATAGCCATCATCAGGGAAATACATGGCCAACATATATACACCACTGAACCGCAGTACTAGTAAAATTGGATACAGTATATAATTATATAAAATACTTGACGTAATAATACAACAAATTAGATTACATAAAACAGAAGTTATAGTATAAAACAAGAATAAAATTCTTTGTCTATGTTTTACATCATCGAATCAGTCGTTGGTTTTGTAATTTTGTTGCTTTCCCACGGACAAATTGGAATATTCTATATTTTGTGTATATAAAATTGTATAGGAGGCTCGTGATGTAGATGTAGTTAATTAATGTTAATTATTTAGTCGATGCCTCATCTTACAAAGTATTGTCCGTTCTGTAGGGAATGTAAACAATATATATAAAGTTTCAGTCTTAATGATATACTGGTGACGCTTGCGTCAGGTTAAACGGTGATTTCTAAACTTTTTTCTTTAGAATATTGTGTTTGAGGGCATGTACGAGATGTACCTAGATTTCCGGACTTAAAAATATAATAAATCATACCAGTTTAGAGAACGTATTTTATATTTACTCACAATCCTTACGTTGCAATGTATCCCTTTCTTAAGTAGAAATGAAAGATTTAGAATGCACAGTCAAGGAGCTATTCTTTCGTACTTAATAGAGAGGATTTTGTCCTCTTAGTAATTACGACGTCAGCACTATGTAGCGCCACAAATTTCAAGGCATATACAAAGACTGTCATTGTTCATGCACCCCCTGATACCTTGAGGTTGGGGTTCTTCTCGCGCAAGGCTACCATCCTTTCATACATCTCAATGTCCTTCTCATCTGCTGCGGCCAGTTTGTGGTCCTTGAGAGTTGCGAAGGCGTAAATCACGTGAGTGCACAGCAAGGGATCGACGTTCTCTGGAGTGAACTTGCCAGCACCTGGTCTCTTCTGGGACCAGCTCGTCATGTAACAGAACACCTGAGGCCCGCGTACTGGAACACAAGGGTGAAAGTAAACAAGTCAAAACATTTCAGTTTATCTCAAATTGCTGTTGCATGCACCGAGAATAATGGCGGATATAAAATACACATCTTCCATTCACTTTCATCTGGTTTCATTCAGTGTTTTTTGAAAAATTTTAATATAGTGAAATATTTAATATATCTGCTTTATTGGTATAACACACCAGACAGGAACAACGGAGGGTGTACGGTGCAAAACTTTGTGAATTTGTCTAAGAATGACAGGTTATATGAGCCAGAGAAAAGTGTACACATGGCTGGAAAACTTCAGGGGAGAGCGCTCAAATATAACGCATTAAGGGGCAGAGTGATCACGGGAGAATAAAGTGTGGCAGTTATTAAATCGCGTCTCAAAAAAGAATGGAAATATACGGCGCAGAAGTGAAAAACTGAAGATATTTTGTTTTGACAAAATTTGAAAATTTCGCTATCTCTGGCTCAAACGCAACATGAAGCGGTGCAGTTGCATTATTATCTACTTAGGCCTACTTTCGTACCTTCTTATACAGAAGGTGAAATGATTACTTTGGTAGTCTCTGTACGCGATCTTAGTCCCTTGTGCTGCGTCCACTTCTGGCCTATTGTACCAGCCCCAGATGATAGGTGAGGGTGATTGTGGAGCAATTCGTGGAATAAAGATTGGCAGGGGAAACAGAAGTACTCGGAGAAAACCTGCCCCAGTGCCACTTTGTCCACCACAAATCACCATTGACCAGACCCGGGATCGAACCCGGGCCGCCGCGGTGGGAAGCCAGCGACTAACCGTTGAGCTATGGCGCGGCCCTATTTTTATACCTTTTTTCTTCCCCTTGGCACTACAGCCCTAGTGGGCCTAGGCCTAACTCCATGAACTTCTCCGTTCACATTTTTATACCTTAATAGCAGTAATTTTCGTTTATTGCAGATTCAATTCTAGTGCTACAAAGCATGGAGCACTGCGCAGGGTCTTAAATTTTCTTCAGAATCCTTAAATTTTTATCATATAGCAGAACGTCTCAAATCAAATTTCTATATCTTAATACCTCTGTAGTCTAGTGGTCAGAGTTCCTGGCTACAGATCCAGAGGTCCCGTGTTCGATTCCCGGCGCTACCAGGTTTTCTGAGAAGTAGTGGGTCTGAAACAGGCTCCACTCAGCCTCGTGAGGATAACTGAGGAGCTAGTTCTAGGAAATAGCGGCTCCGGTCTAGAAAACCGAGATTGAGGGCCGTGGGGATCCGTTAGTCTAACCACTTGACACTCTATCCGTAAAAGTTGGCACTAACTTCGCCGGCCAGCGGTGGTCGCTCAGTCGGTCTAGTTCGCTTGGGGACTACAGGTCACGGAGTTTAATGCCATTAATACTGTGTGCCATATTCATAATTTGGTACGATTTAGTAGCTTGATTTAACAAATGTTCGATTTGAAATTAATGTACAGGATACCACTATACTGGACTCACGACTGCGAATATTAATTCCAAATTCGGTGGCATTCCAATACAAACTTTAATCGAAATCTATTAAGTAGTTTCTGAGATGAAAATCCTGACAGACATAAGAAAATAGCCTCCATTATGCGCTCATTTCACGAGCTGAATATTATACTTTATACCAATATGCAGACGATTTCGTTTAAAATTTCTATAAAACATTATTGGGAAAAGTGTCAATTTGTGTAACAATGTTTTTCTTTTGTGCTGTTTGAGAAGGAACAGAGGCACTGATCAGTCCCAGCTTCGATCTAAATGTATTCTAGAGATGCAGGATTGGAGGATGAGATGGGCGGGGTACGTAACACGCATAGGGGGACGGAGAAATATATACAGAATTTTAGCTGGAAACTGGAAAGAAGTGGAAGACTTAGGAGACCTAAGCGCAGATGGGATGATAGTATCAAAATTAATCTTAGACAAATAGGATGCGACAGTGTGGACTTGATTCAAATAACTCAGGATTAGAGCTAACTTCGGAATATTGTGGACACTGTAGCGAACATGGTTCCTGCCCGTTGGCTGGTTCATTTATGAATTGCTTGAATACGCGGTTTCAATTAACTAGGTAAAAGCGAAGTCACACTGAACTGAAAATTATCTACTTTGTAAAGTATCCCTGTAACAGGCCGTGAAGACCCATAGGGTTGTGAGACGTTGAGGGTCCCACATTTTCTAAACAATCGGCTCAAAGATGGCGGTAAGGTTGTCAGCCTTACGCGCCTGCCGCGCTTTACTCCCCAGGAAAATTATTTAATTAATTCCTGGTACTCATTTCTGTTAGAGGCTGAGTCGACCCCAGGGCCATAGTGCGGCTGGAAGGATTAGGTCAATTGAAAAAAATGCAATGACCTCATAGGGACTTGAACCCGCGACCTTCCGTCTTGTAGCATAGTGCCTCAACCAACTACGCTACCGCGTGCCCCCGGTTCCAACTTACTAGGTTACAAAAACAAATTCCGTGGCCTGTAGTCCGCAAGCGAACTATACCGACCTAGCGACAGCCACTTGTCCGTGAAGTTAGTGACAACTTTTGCTGATATAGGCTGTCTGTCACGTGGTCAGTGCAATGGATCACTCAGTTTTCTAGACCGGACCCTCTATTTCCTTGAACTAGCTCCTCAGTTATCCTCACGAGGCTGAGTGGACCCCGTTTCAGATCCACTACTTATCAGAAAATCTGGTAGCGGCGAGAATCGAACACGGGACCTCTGGATCTTTAGCCAGGAACTCTGACCACTAAACCACAGAGGAGGTTACACATTGTCTAATATTTATTTGTACTTTATTTAATGTTATTAGTAATTCCAGACTATACAATGCCCAATATTTGGATTATCAATAAATTGGAAAGTATTTGGAAATAAGTCGCTTATTTAAGGTACTGGCCCGTTATTTTCTGAAAAGCCTGGGGAAACCACGATAGTTCGTATTTCGGCTGTCGGTTACTGTTTAGCAGTTTGAGCCAACTCACTCGGCATGGGATGCCTAATAAGTGATGCAAAAGTGAACGTAGTTGGTGAGGAACAGGCTATGTAACAGACAGCCATGGGCTATTTCAAAATATACACGCTAATTCGGCTGGAAACACTGAAGAAATCTGAAAGGAACCCGACAATTTTAAGCATGGATAACCGGAAAACCGACCTAGATTCGACCCTCTACCATCAACGTGCTACTGCTATATTCTCGTGCTCTGTCGGAATATAATATAGTCTTACATCCTGTAAATTATTTTAAAATAAGGTCCATAATAAAAGAAAAAGTTTTACATTAATCAATTTAAATTAATTTTGCGTGAGGCATGAGTATAGCAGCAGCTGGACCCAACATATGAAATACCGATAAGAGAAAGGCGCTTTTGGTCTTCTGTTGTCAATAAAGTTCAGGGTATTACGTTCTAACAAGTCACTTTCCAGGCTCTAGGCGCTGGTTCATTAAACTCTGTGCATTTCTCCAGTCACAGAAGCATATATATGAAACGATACTGGCCATAAGCGGAGAGACCAGAGAATAGGGTGGAGTCGATTATGCAAGAAAAGTCCATTCACCACGTCCACCTCTGACGTTAATGACATCTGTTCGGTTTGGTGTAAATTAAAATGGAACATGTAACACAGTATGAATGACAGGAAGTAAAAGCTGTCATCTCTGACTTGGTACATTATTTTTGGTTTTAAAGGATTGTAGAATTAGGTTTTAGCAGGGCCTGTGAGAGGTTAAACGGAACCCAGGCCATGCACAAATGTGGAGTCCTATCCCACTCCTAACAAGTACTTTAAACAATCTGATTTGCTCTCGAACGATTATAGATGAAAAGCCAAGAATAAAGTCAATAATTAGATTAGGAGGAATTCTCACATTCTTGCTTACTCATTATAAAGTTTTAAAAAATATCGTAGTATATTTGGGACCCTCTACGATAGATGCCTGGTTAAAATAATCCTATTGGACCTCTCTCTATATAGGCCTGGGATTCAAAACCCTTCGTGATACAAAAATGCCTTTACATAAATTTCAATCAACAAATTACAAAGATTCGTCAGCTATCATCCTTCATGTAGCAGCCATATTGTTAACTAACTAAGCAAATAATTCCATAGTGCTGAATCCTTCTCCACAAGCCACATTTGCTCAAGAAATTGCCAGCATTGCACGGTGCCCGAAGTTTCATTTCCTCATGTATAAGAGCCTGCTACTGCTTCTCACCTCAGTAAGTTCATACCGTCATTCATGCTTCGATACTACCCTCCCATCCACGTCTGTGTCTTCCTAGTGGTATCTTTCTTTCAGGATTTCCTACAAAAACTCTGTATGCACTCCTGTTTTCTCCCATGCATGCTACCTACCATTTCCGTCTCGTTCTTGATCGTTTTAATATTTTCTGTTTTTTACCTAAAACGAAAACTTGATATAAGACACTTTCTAGTACCTCTCAAAGATCTAACTAATTCTCTGCACCAAAGTGTTTCTATATAAATTGATGGTCCTTCTACAGGTCAAGAAATACCTAATCTCTTATGGAACCTGAATATTAATTACTATGTTCATAAGATCCCGCCACTGGATTTATCCTGAGCCAGTTGAACTCAGTCCGAATTCTGACTTTCTGTTTTTCTAGGATCTAGTTTAATATTACTCTTCTGTCTAGGCATAAGTCTCAAAAGAAATTTTTCCCGTCAGATTTTCTGACCAAAATGTTGGCATGTCTCATCTCCCCATACGTCTTAACATGATTCGCCTGCCTCACAATTCATGAATTGTCTATGCTAATTGTCCAATATTTAGTGAAAACTACGAATTATTAAGTACAGAACTAGCAGGCTTATTTTGGACTCTATCCATCGTCTGGTATATAGAAGACAAAAAACCACAACGTTCTGTACAGATACACCATCGTCAGAATCCTTTCAAGTCTATTTACCAAATATGAAGCTCTTCACGACGTAAATTTCTCTATCTTCAAGTTAATTCTACTCTCGCAAATCAAAATGGTCTCAATATCCTATTCTCAGACACCTTCAATGTAGCGTACGTCCTTTTCCTAGGTTGATAGACCGAGTTTTACACTAGTATAAAACGCAGTTTTACATATTTAATTTTCACCATTTATGTAGTATGATGGCCGGTCACGGTAGCCGAGCGGTCTAAGGCATGTACTGTCTCCGCTCGCTTGGAAACCGGGATCATGCGTTCGAATCCCACTCAGGGCATGGATGTTTAGTTTGTGTATGTGCGTTTTTCTGTGTTTGTGTACAGGTAGAGACCTTGCGACGAGCTGATCACCCGCCCAAGGAGCCCTAAGTGCCAAGTAAAATCTAGAAAAACGGAAGTGAACGAAGAGTTCATGGAGGTAGGCCTAGGCCCACTGGGGCTGTAGTGCCAAGGAAAAAAAACGTCTTGTGCGAGGCATTTTAATACGGCAGAATAAGTTGCAAGGATTTTGCTGCATGCTGTACATTTTCAGTCTGTAAGTAAGGCAAAGAAATCAGGTCAATTCACACCGTAATTATACACGGCGCTGTTCAGGAACGCATGACTGTACACTCGTAGTTCTGCGAGAAAGAAGGGAATACAGGAAGTAGCCAAAAGTTCCACCTTGTTTAAAATTCTAGCTTCACTCTTCATTGTGTGTTCTTCGCACATGTGAACAGAATGAATACGTAATGAGGAATGTTTGACTTGATATTTCATCTTCGAAATGATTATTAAACAAACTTCCAGTGATTAAAATTAGCTGGGTAGATTTCGTTTCGCTGAGCACAGTGGCCGCGCGGTCTAAGGCATGAACCGTCTTCGGCCACTCAAAAACTTGGATCGTGGGTTCGAATCCCATTCGAGGCATGGATGTCTGTTTGCGTTTATTACGTGTTTGAGTTGTCCTGTGTGTAGGCAGCGACCTTGCGGCTGGCTGATCCCCCGTCTAAGAAGTCCTACCGACTGCGTATATGGTTAAGAAACTGAAAAAGCGGCCAAGGTCCAAAGGGCTGTAGAGCCATAGAGAAAAAAGATTTGGGTTAGGAAATTTTGACGTTACGAATGGCAATTCCCAGACCACTACACAGGAATTTAATTATACCTTACAGGGAAATTCATTGATACAGCCTAGGAACTTGGTCCTTTATCCTTCGTTACAGAATTCTCCGTGTCCTCTATGCAATGTGACACACAATTTCGAAGTTCCATTTCAAGATTTACAAACTTTTCTGTAAATTAATATTGAAATGCTGTTTTAAATTTTTCTTGCTTCCAGTCGGTTCGGCTTCACAAGTACTTTAAAATTTATATCAAATCGAGAGCTGCATATGAACGAACGCCGTTTTCTTCGATGTACAGGCTACGCCGTTAAACTAGATCCTTAATATCTAAACATTTCACCACCGGTATCTGCCCAGAAAGCTTGTAAACAAACTTGTCCAGACTCCTTTGATAGTTCCGTTACATTCTTAAATTCTCTGAAGCTCATGCAGTAATCACCCTACAGATAGGTCGTTCTTCCATGATTTCACTAGTTTTCACATTTGACAACAGAAGTCAAATGAAAGGTCGTTGTCCTTTGTTGGTATATTCTGTCACTAGAACAGACATTATGTACGCCGCAGTATTAATATCACTACTGAAATAAACTGAAGACGAGCTCGACTCTTTAGAGACTACATTTCTAAATAATATACATTGCATACGTATATAATATATACGGAATTATATTGTGTATAGGGGATATATATTTACGTATTTTTTTCCTCGCAGGAACAAACGACGACCAACCCCTTATTATTTACGGGAAGCATCGCTGTTTGCTATGGGAATAAGTACCGTGAATGGGCATAATGCTCTTGGTATCAGTAGTGATCGCTAGACTCTTAACTGTGACCCGCGATTCTGCAGCTGGAGGAGTGACATGCAGTAGGGAGCATCCGTGTCTTCCTATCGAGGTGACGATATGTGACGGGCCCAACCGATCGACTCACCGTTTGACGTCACTTCCACTCATTCACATTATGACAGTTCTCAGTTAAAGTCTTGGTGATAATTCTGCAATCCTCTGTGATTTATTTCATGCACTGAAGCTATTATTCTTTGTGGTTTAGATAATCAAAAATATTTATGAGATTTGAATTCCACGTGCTGTCTATTTTATTTCTGTATTACAGTCGTATTTTTCAAAAGTTTCAAGTATGTAAATTTATTGATTGTGTGTTTGTTCTTTAACAATGCAACATACAAGGAAATTTCATTCTCAGATATTTTTACTAATAACTACATCTGTGAGACAGGAGCAAATCGTTAAGACTTAAATTTATGAGTCGTATTGAAATGATACATGAGAGGATGATATTAAAATGAATCGTAAAGAAAAACGCTATGATTAACTGGATTAAAGTAAGGAAATTAATAACAGGCTGTTTTAATGTAGTAACGAACATTCAGGTTCAATTAAAGGCGGGGAATTACTTGACCAATCTCTTTGATTGTTAAGATTTTCTTCCGCGGAATTAAGAGGAAGCGTTCATATCCGCCCGTGTAGCATAAAGACAATCGCCTTGCAGTTCACCCCTTAAACGCTCTACAAATTCCATTACTTAATGCCACAGTTTTGAATGATTCTTGCTAATAACAAAAACATGAAAAACAAACAAATAAACGAAACCGCGTGTAAGCGACGCTAATTTCTATTGTTCGCTGTGTTTGGTTAGATACAGATAAAGTTCTCCCTGTGCCTAACCATCTAATCACTAAGCCATGGAGGCGTATGAGAGAGTGGATATATAGATCCACATTTTCTTGACCTCGGCACTAGTTTGAAGTGAGTGGTGAGCTTCAGGCCCCTGCCGGTTTAACCCCGGGAAAGAGCCCCTGGCACCCGTTGGCTGGGAAGTTGGGTGGACCCCAGAGTCGGTCTGGACGACATGGAAAAGAAAAAATTCTTGACCCTACCGGGACTCGAACCCTAACCCCTTGGTCTTCCAGCCCGTAGCCATTCGGTGTACTCGGCGCCTGTAGATATACGTGTATAGTCTCTACAGAAATAAGAAGAACCTCTGAGATCTGAGGTTTTCTCGGCGGTGGGCAGGAAGTTTATGATCTTCTGAAATGTGATATCATGTGGTTTGAAGAATGAAATTTTGACGTTTCGGAGAATATGCTTGTTGGAGAAATTTGAAACAATTCCAGTAACGGTATCAGTCTCAGTTGCGTCCCTGTCAGAGCAACACGCGTGCAATCTTCGATTTAAACAGAACCTCATGCCCCGGGACTAAACATCTAGGCAAAATAATTGCTGGCATCAAAGGAAGAAACACAGAGTAAGAAAAGATTTAAAAATAAGGAAGATACAGGATTAAACAAGGAGGGAAAGAAATAAAGACAGCAAAAAGAACTGACAATCGAAGAAAAAGAGCAGAAACACACAGTATAAGAGAGGATAACAGAAAGAAAAGACAATGGAAGAAATAAAGAAAAAGAACCTTTTTTTTCCTGTTCTTTGTGAAATAGCTTTTGTCCTCAACTACATCTTAGTTACTGCACTTCCTTCAGCTGAAGGATATTAGTTCACAACATCCGTTTCGCTCTTGAGACATACAGGGAGGCCCGTAGTGAAACTGCTTACCGTGTGGATCAACAGCAGTAAGAACAGCAGTAGAATCAGCGGTCTGTTTCAGTGGTCTGACACGTTTCAATACCTCGCTAACTGATATCTTGATTGGTGGCGGCTTTGTAGTTGTTTCTATGCTGACAGAGTTGGCAACCTTGCTCCAGTCTACATCCTTTGCATTGTTAGACCTTGCAAGTCCCCTGAGTTCTTCCCTGAAAGAGATGTGTAAGAACACATGTATAGAAACATTGTCTTTTTCTAAATTAAACAGCTATATCTACATCGCAGCCTATATATATGTACTGTTGGTAAGTGTCACATAAATTGGTATACTTGTACATTACAGTGAAATCTTAACCTAAAAATGGCATGATAATGACAGCACTGCTGAAAAGTTTGACTTATGATGTTTAGAGAGAGAAGGAGGGAAAGACACTGAGTGAGTCTTCTCCATGAAAAGTCAGATTACTGCATTTTAAAAGCATGGTGTTCAGAGGTTATCAGTAATGAAGAGAGGCATCCGTTCCACGGCCGAGATATGGTTGGTTTCTCTGTGACATCGCAGTATGTATAGCGGACAAATCTGTGAAGAATGTTAGCACTCAAATTAAGGAATTCAGCATATTCATATAATTTAATATACAAGATTGCAAGCGAGGATTTTGAACGGCTTCCAGAGCCCCTGTAGCAATCTTTGCACACCGCTTTAACAGCCATGATTTCCTTACGTTCCTCCCAGAATGAAGGTAAAGGTAAAATTGTCCCTGCGCTTGACTAATTAAGCACTACGCTTTAAAGGTGTATGGGGGAGTGGATATATAGACCCACATTTTCTTGGCCTCTGCACTAGCTGGAGGTGAGTAGTCAGCTTCAGGACCCTGCCGCTATACCCCTGAGGAAGGAGCCCACAGTACCCATTGGATAGGAGGCTGGGTGGGCCCCAGAGCCGGTCTGGACGATTTGGAGAAGATAAAATTCTTGACCCTACCGGGACTCAAACTCTGACCCCTCGGTCGTCCAGAACGTAGCCAGTCGCTATGCCGACTGCGAATACGTAGTAGATATCATAACTTTCTTCAGAGTTCTCTGTTAGATCCGTGTTGAGAAACATAAAGGAATATTTCTTTATATAGTTGGTTGGATAAGGCAGTTTTTAACCTTTTACTGTTTCATAACTGCAATACATGTGGTGCAAAGAAAATACTGCAATCACAAGGAGATAAATAATAAATACAGGAAACGAGATTTTGAAGGAAGTGCGTGTCTTTCGCCTATGGCACGTTATTTACTATTTTCGAATTTAATTGAATTTTTTAATTTCGTGGGGTTGGGTGAGACTGAATTCACTTGGTACGTCGGCAACTAATTAGCCTATTGAACCATCCCGACTGAAAAATGAGTGTGGAGCATTTGGTGGGACGAGAACTGGCTGGTTAAATAGAAATACTCGGAGAAAAACTGCCCCAGTGTAATTGTGTCCACCACAAATCCCACGTGACACGGCCTAGGATCGAGCCCGGGCCGCCACGTTGGGAAACCGGCGACTAGCTGCCTGAGCTATGACATGACCTTACTCTTCTCCCTTACTGTACTCCATAACAGGGTTGGAGTAAGTTGAGGCTCTCTGGTTCGCTGGTTTGCCTGCCACATTAGGATTACACGCATTGGGTCCCGTAGCCTGAAGCACCTGCCCATCCATTCTCAAGGTTCTATTTCTGCAAAGAGTGCCTTGTTCCTCGACATACCTCATGGCCCCAATCAGTGGGTACTTAACATCACCACCGCAGATGGCGCCTGTGAAGTCATCCATATCTACGGTCCACACCATGGCTCCAGCATATCCGTTATCTTTAATCCAGTGCATTTTGTTCCTGATGGATCGCTCATCATCGAACCCAACCCACTGGTCTCCCTGCACTGCGTACGGCACTTTCATCTCGTCGTCCCACACATAGGATGCCCCGTTTCTTAGCATTTCACACACCTGCAGCACAGAAAATCCAAACAGAAACAGTCAAACGCATACGCGATGCATATCTTGGTCTAGCTGCAGAGTTCCACCAGATGGCAAGGAAATGGCGGAAGATCATACTGTAAAATGGCTTCCCTGGCATCTACTTGCACGTCGTATGTCATTATATTGTATTGAAATTATCAAGCTTTATGTAAATGTTGTAAAAGACATAACATATGTATTCTGTGAATAAATGTAACTTCTACTGAACATATATATTTCTTCCTCTGGTGATCAGTTGATGAGATAGATCCTTTACTGACATGGGCCATAAAATTAAATAGATTAAATTAATGTTGAATTTGAAATTCTCACAGTGGTCCTCGTGAAGAATATTATCTTCTGTGACGTAACATTGTGTAGTATGTTAGAATTTTACTCATAGTGGACAACTTGGCTTTACATCCCGGAAGACTGTACTCTTCAATACATATCGAGGGTCACCGAAATCGGTCTGGTGATTCTGTCGTCGTCACATGCGGACCGACAGACAGATATGACGAAGTTAATTGGCGCAAATCGATTCTTTTCCAAGCACACATAAGGTGGCATGGTCGTTCCTCTCTCTTGCTCAGGGACTCTTTGTTCTCAGGGTTTTCGAATTCATTGTCATAGGGATGCCTTGCCTCAGACCACAGAAATCAAATCTTAACAAATCTTTAAAGATATTTCGACAAACAAATATCATCGAAGGCAAAAATTTAAATAAGACTGCATCCCACCTCATTCGAAGTTGCATAACACCCGCCATTGAAAAGTGGCCATTAAATACGCTGAGAATCAATCGGAAAAGATAAAGGGTTTNCAAAGGAACATGGCAATGTTTTAGTGACGTCATTCACCGTCATATTACGGCCGCTTGATTACGGTACCGCTACCCGAGGAAACCCAAGCTTTAGCCTTCTATAGCTGGAACGAAAGAGGAAGGGGAATGAGTGACGACGGTTTTCGAAATGAATCGTGAACTTACGATGTTGCAAGATTGCTTCCAGCACTTCTTGACATTGTAATGTTAAATCTGTCCCGCCAACCGATTGCATTATCATCACTGCGCGCTCTTCTTATTATAAGTGCAGCAGTTAAGTTTTCTTTCCCTACCAATAACTGTTACTGTCAGTGATTCTGAAGTCGCATCCTGATTGGTTCACGCCTCCCCACGTGACAAACTATGCCATGGTAAGACTGAATTACTTTACTAACCTCGTAATAAGCAAGGAATCCTCCCTCCTTTGTGTAATCTCCAGCTTTTCCTCCGCCACTCGCTGGAGCGTTCACTTTAAAGTTGGCTGGGTTGGACAGAGTGAAGGTCCTGCCATATGTCGGCATACCAATGACCAGTTTGTCCTTAGGTGCTCCAAGCTTCACCCACATGGAGGCCGCGTGATCAACACTTAGCTGTTTCCGCCACTCCGAGTCTGAGCTGGGCGCGTATAGAGGGGCGTTGTGGCCTGTTTCTCGCTCCCACTTCCCGTGGAAATCGTAGGCCATCAAATTGATGAAATCCAAGTAACTGCGATCAGTAAACGAATCATTAGCCACACACACACACACACACACACACACACACACACACACTCAACTAAACTCAACTGGAAAAAAAAATATATATATATATATCTTGTAACTGCCTTCTAAAAGAAGTTATTAAGGAAAGATAGAGGGGCGGATAGAAGTGACCAGAAGACGAGGAAGAAGACGTAAGAAGATGTTGGATGACCTTGGGGACAGAAGAGGATATTCTCATTTGAAGGAGAGAGCTGTAGATCTCATCGAGTGGAGGAACTGTTTTAGAAGAGACTGTGGACCTGTCGTCTGACAGATTACTGATGAATGAATGAATGAAGAGAGCCCTAACTTCAGCATTCGCCAATGGGCACTATTCATGTCAGTTCCGCCTATCTTCCATTCTCACGATATATTTCTTTAAAATTGTCTTGATATGTCCCACCCAATCTCCTTGTAATTGCTCTACACTATCGTTCTCTAAGCAGTTTCCCGCCAAAATTCTCTATGCATTTCATGTCACCTTCGTCTTATTCAATATCTAGTTCATCTTAGCTTGCCGGATTTCATTATCCTAACAGAAGTAGGCTGTTGTGTAATGTTGTGTAGTGCTCTAGATTTCTGTCTTACCCCGCACTTCATGCTGTAAAGAGGGCGCTATTCTTCTGTGCATTCTGCTCTCAAACACTTAGCTAAATGCTTGGGATTCTATTTTGTCCTTTTAATTCCACACTCAGCCATATTTCAAAATATAAATACGAGAAAGAAGATATTCCTATAAAAGCTAGTAAGCAATTATTTCATTGCTGCTGGGGTGGGACTAAGTCCCTTGTACTGCGGCCACTTCTGGCCTATTGTACCAGCCCCAGATGATAGGTGATGGTTATTGTGGAGCAATTGATGGAATGAAGATTGGCAGGAGAAACCGAAGTACTCGGAAAAAAACCTGCCCCAGCGCCACTTTGTCCACCACAAAACCCACTTTACCAGACCCGGGATCGAACCCGGGCCGCCGCTGTGGGAAGCCAGCGACTAACCGCTTGAGCTACGGCGTGGCCAGTAAGCAGGTTGTTCTTTAAATAAATGAAAAGAAAATGTGTTTCGTCGTCAGATTGTAGAGCAAAAATATTCATATGTTTTATACATTCTTATCAAATTATTCGAAATATGACAATATACAGGGTGTCCCAGGAGGAATGGACCAAACTTCGGGAGNCAAACAAGTGACGCGGTGAAACTATATTCACGAAAAAATTACATTAAATTTGGGGGCTGCCACCATTCAGTTTAGAATCTTTGTCTTCCCGTACCCCATGCAGGGATGTAAAAACTAAAATATATTAAACCTGTTGTTCATATGGTCTGAAATGTGTTCTTTCATTCTAATAGGAGAACATAGCTGGAAGGTGTTTGAGAATAAAGAGGTGAGGGAAATACTTGGACCTGAAAGAGATAAAACGAAAAGAAAAGCTACAGGGGCGTCACACACTGCACTATTCTGCAGATGTTATTAGTGGAATGAAGTACGGAGGATGAAGTGGATGAGACATGTAGCATGCATGGGGATATGAGAATTAACATTTTCTTCGAAACAGTGCACGGGAAGATACAATTTGTGAGACAGGGACGTAGATGAGGGGGAAATTTTGCAATTGGTTTTAAAAAACTGGGATGTGAGAATGTAGATTGTAGGTACGTAGACAATTACAGAGGTATGTGAGTGTATGGTTAGGGAGGTAGGAAGGTTAATCGGTAGGTAGTGAGTTCGTTAGTTAGACTAGACCAGGATTAGATAGGTAGACAGACAGGTATTTGGTTGGGATTTTAAGAAATTCTTGTTCTCATGTTTTGACTGCATTTTTATGGTAAAGAAGAGAATTGGAGGAGGGTAAGGTTTGGTTGAGCTTCCTCTGTAACCACTTGGGACAGAATACTTTGAAATGGTTCAAATTTACAGTGACCAGATCTAGAAGTGACGAATTCCTCAATATAATTCATGGGGAACGACACAATTTCTTAAACGTATTTATATTTTTTTTTTTTTTAAGTTTATTGGCTTCTCGTTTTGCGTGTTGAGGTGAGAGTCGTGATCTAGTCCTGCAGAAGTTGGTCATGGAGAGTCATGGCTACTTAGGTATTGAGGTAACACTGTATATTAAAGGGACAATGATTACACTGAATACACTCTTTTCTTTGCCATTTCTTTGCTTGCTCTTCTTTCTATTTTATTTTTTCTTTACTGTTCCTTTCGTTCTTCCTTTTCTTATTCACACTTTTCATTTGTTTAGTGTGAGATCTGATGGTTGTAAAAGGCTAATTAAAGATCACTGTCGTATCGAACGAAACGCCATGAAGCCTTGTAGATATTCTGTGATTTTTCGGAGGACCGTTTTACGTCCATATGGGGACAGTGCCTTCCTCCGCATCGTCGGTAAACAACTGCTAGATATTAGAACATCACATCCGAGAAGATTGCAATTTCTTATTCAATTTAAGTTGGCAATGCGCTCAAAGAGGAAAATCAATGATTCAATTAAAGTTAGATTTGATGTTGTAAAGAGTTCCATCTTCTGGGGCCTAACGCTGTCTAGTCCATTGTAAGTCAACATATGTTTCTTAGGAACAAGTAGGCTCCATCTTGAGGATCGAAGAATAAGCCAAGCATGAACCGAACATGTAAGGAGGTGGTAAGTTTGTCTCTGCGATGTGTTCGTCTTATTTCAACGGACAACAGGCGTTATATCCCAGAGGACAGAATTCTTCAGTTTACATAATATTTTCTTTTGCGCCCTATGGCTGATCTCATAAATTTTGAAAGTTCTTTAAAGTTTTATGGAGGAGGTAGGTAAAAGTGAATATTTCTGATCAGCTCCACGCCCGTTTTGAATTTTTAAACGCAGGTCTCTGTTAACGTTAGAGATTACTTAGCGTTCATTTGTACCAAAATTATACACCATAATTTGGAGAAGACTATGAAAGAAGATAAATGTAATACGTTTGTCCAATCATAATAATTATTATTTAGGAGAAATCACACCCTGCTGGTTCCTTGGACACGAGGGGAGTAGGATGAACTGGCTCACCTGGCGACTGCTGGCACATCGTATCCTCCTCGAACGTTGTCCGGGCCAACAGGCACTGCAGCTGTTAGGAGCAGGCGGGGCTTCTTGACTTCCTGCGCCTCGGCCTCGAAAGCTTCCCGCAGTTCTAGAAACGAAGATGTCACCAAGTCAAATAAGAAGAGCGTTAAAGCCGAATTATTTTTTTGGCCTCTCCATCCTTCACAATAATCATATCCACAATTACAGAAATGATAATACAAGTAAAATAATCCGTAAATGAGCTGGTCATTGATTTGTAAATTTCTCAGTTATCAGTTCAGTGCGGAATAGAGGAGCGCCGCAGATGTTAATGAGCGAATTATTGTGACCAATTATGTTGTAGTAAAGTAATGAGTAGGCAAATAACTGACATGAAGTACATATATAGTTACGGTAGGTAAAAGAGTGACTGCATAAAATATTAACAATTCATTTTAAATATTTACTCATTTACTCGTGTACTCAGCAGCTCAAAAGCCAATTATAATGTAAGCACAAGCAATGAAACAAACAAAACAAACACAAACGAAGGAAACGTGCATCGTTTAGGCAATAACAAATCAATTGTTGCAATCATGCCAACCATGATGCAGTAAGAACAAATGTGTATATACAGAATATTCCGCAAAGTACTGGTGTTCTAAGGAATATTGAAGCAAGATATTCCTTAAACTACAGGTCGATACGACGCGATTATGAGCTAGAACTGCTGTAACTTGGCCCAACTCCTGCTTGCACACTGCCTGGGCTAGCCGTGGCTGTGTTGTGCTGCACTGCACTTGCACACTGCCTGGGCTAGCCGTGGTTGTGCTGTCCTGTGCTGCACTGCACTTTCAGAGTGCCTGGGCTAGCCGTGGCTGTGCTGTGCTGCACTACACTTGCACACTGCCTGGGCTAGCCGTGGCTGTGCTGTGCTGCACTGTACTTGCAGAGTGCCTGGGCTAGCCGTGGCTGTGCTGTGCTGCACTGCACTGTGCCTTACACGTTTACGCCGACATGCATTTCATGTACGGTTTCTGCAATATAAATATTAGGGCTGTTGTAAGCAATGATATCCACTTCGCAGGACGTTTGAGAGAGTATACAACATTTTGAATCAGGCTGGTTCCTTCTCAAGAGCGAACGCAGAAAGTTAGTAAAAAATGACGACGTTTTCAGGTTACCACAGGTTATGTTCTTCACTCATAGTAAGAGGACGTGCTTTAAATTCATAAAAAAAATCTTGAAAATGTATTACTTTGTTTATTTTGTTCTCCTGTATTTTGGAAAGCAGGTGGTATGGTAACAGTTTCCGAGCTGAATAAGTCATAACAACGGTAAATGGAAACATGTTTACAGAATATTTATTCGCCTAACTCCACCATATCCATCAGCTAGTGTTGTTCCCACAGGCACTTGTGTGTTGATATACGTGGTACAGTCATTAAGTTTGTGGACTGTGGTTTTATCACATGATATTACAAGGTATTCATATAGACTTATACAGATCCACATCGGACCTCAGAATAGTTGCCGTTGAACGCTATGCCAGTCTGCCAACGTTGATATAGCTGTCGGAAACATTTCTGAAACATATTGGCGGGAAATTCCCGTACGGCGTCTCTTGTGGCATTGACAACCTCCTCGGATGACTGAAACCTACGACCACGTAGCTTTGCTCTCAAGCGGTAAAAGAGAAAGAAATCTCATGGTGCGAGATCAGGTGAGTACGGAGGGTGTGGCAAAACGGTGACCTGTTGCCTTGCCAGTTCCTCTTGGACAAGAACAGAGCGATGTGCAGGGGCGTTGTCGTGTGGCAATAGCCAATTCTTCCTGCGGCAAATGTTTCGCTAGGGGATTTGCCCAGTTTTTGGCAGAACTTGATGTTTGTCCGTTGTTCAAACTGCCACATTTTCGATTTCCGCCACTTGCATTTAACTGCAGCTCACAATAGAGGCCGTAGTTCTGCTTAAACTGTTTGCACACAAGTGCCTCTTGCTGTGACGAGATAACTGACAGGGCATCATATCATGCCTCAACGTATCCGCTGTAGTGTACTGCAACGATGCTTTACTGCCAGTCCACGAACTTATTGACTATGGTAGTGTGCTCAACTACAATGTTACACGGCTCTGCTTTGACGTGTGCTGTGCTATAATCTTTGTGTAACTGGAGGCTACATCTGGCGATCACGGTAGCCGCGCGGTCTAAGACATGAACTCTCTTCGCTCTCTCAAATACTAGGATCGTGGGTTCGAATCCCACTCAAGGCATCGATGGCTGTATGTGCGTTTATTCTGTGTTTGCGTTGTCCTGTGTGGGTAGCGGCCTTGCAACTGGCTGATCCCTCGTCCAGCGAGTCCTACCGACTGTGAAAAAATCATTACGAAACTGAATAAGAGGCCAGGGCCCAACAGAGGTTCTGTAGAACCATTGATGGATGGAGGAATGGATGTTGTATCTATTTGCTTGTCATAATCAATGTCTTATGAAATCTTACCTTTGAGTAGCAAGACAAAATTCTTCTTATCATCGCTTCCTTTGGGGTATTCCCAATCCATGTCCAAGCCATCGAAGTTACGATCCCTGAGGAACGGGATGGCGCTGTAGATGAATGTCTGACGGGAATATCTTGTCGCAGACATTACCTTGAACTTCTGAGTTCCGAAGGACCATCCACCTGCAACACACAGATTGTACGTCTCTTGTCAGTCGCAGTCTCATTTACTCATCGTACCTCTTCATTTATCCCAGACAAAAACCTTCAGATCTGAAAATTACGTTGTCTCCCGCGCCTTCTTCCATCTTATCTGTCTGATAATTACTAGGTAACGGTAATGTTGTCCCTCTGCTTATCTAATTAAGCACTACGTCATTAAGGCTTATAGAGGAGTGGACGTTTTGATCCACATTTTCTTGACCTCGGCAATAGCTGGAGGCGGCGAGTGGTCAGCTCCACGCCCCGGCCGCTTTACCCCCAGGGAAAGAGCCCCCGCTGCATATTGGATAAGAGTTTGGGTGATAATTACTAGGAAGCCACAAACCCATGATGCGTGCCCCTATCTATGGCCGCTGCTCTTCCACCGGTGTCTAGTTTTGCAATTCAGTGCTGTTGTCGCCATGTGATCTGACGCCAGTAAGTAATTAACATAAATCATACTTATGTGAATTGTGGCCGTGTTCCCAACCGCGGCGGCTCGGATTCGAGCCCAGATCAGGACATGTGGGATTTATAGTGAACAAAGCGGCACTGGGGCAGTTTTTCTCTCAGTACTTCGGTTTCCTCTGCTAATTTTCATTCCACCGACTGCTCCAGACTCATGATCTACCATCCGGGGCTGGTTCAATAGGCCCATTAGTGGCCGACGTGCCAAGTGGACTCAGTATCACCCCACCCCAAGAAACTTAAAAAAAAAAAGTATGTGAACAGTCATATCCTTTGTCGTGTAGAGGCCGAATCTTGTGAGCATTTAGTGTTCGCTTCTTGATGTTCGCCAACTTCCACGCGCCAGTTAAGACAAAACGCCCCGTTTCTTCGCATCGTTTTGGTATTTAGTAGACTGCATTTAGATTTTCTTGTTATTTCGTGGTGTGTGGTAGACTTGAGTCCACTTGGTGCGTCTACCTGATGAACCAGCCCCGGATGACGGATCAATATGGAGCATTTGTTGGAATAAGAATTGGCAGGGGAAACCGAAGTGCTCTGAGAAAAAAATATTCTAGTGCCACTTTTCCCACCAAATATCTCACATGAGATACCCGGGCTCGACCCCTGGCGACTAACCGCCTGAGCTATGCCACAGCTATGCAGAAGATTAATGTCATAAATACGCAGTTGCAAACATTCAACATATGAGTTATACAAGAACAGAATATCGGGCTCTCCAGTCAGTATATAAGGGAAATCCAATATGGAGCATTAATTGTATTTTCATTTAATATTGTTAAGTAACTATGTAAGAATAAATTGAATGGGCTAGGCTTGTACTACATGCGGGAGAAATAAGACCCTAACGAACTTTTTTTCAAAATATTTGTGGGGAACGGACCATCTGGGAGACAGTCACAAATACGATATTAATATTAAGTAGACCCTACAGATATAGGGTACATAAAGTGTGGAATAGTTTAAACTGGCTTACTCTAGAATTAAATGGCAGATTATTTTACAAGAAAATTGGGGTTTCAGTTCCGTAAAAGGATGATATTTCTTGATCAACTGAAATAAATATAGGATTTCAGATTTTCACAGCAGTGGTTATGAAGGGTCCTATCTTTTGAAATATAATGTTATGTAGTCCATTGAAAGTTATCCGACTTTTCGGAGGAACACCTCGCTCTTCTTGATACCTGCTTCACTCTAGTATCTTGCTCGGCTATTGTTCGAAACTAAAGATGGAGGCGACATACTCCTCCGAAACGTCGGTTGACTTTCAAACGGACTACAGGGAGTTGTATCTCGAAAGATGAAGTCTTCAACCGAAATAAACTGTTCGAAGGTGATCTTGTGCTGTAAATCGGTTGTACTCGTAAACGCTTACGAGTACATCTTTTCAACATGACTACAAATCAAGTTACGTACAAGAGTAATTGTGTCATTTGTCCCAGAACGGTATGAAACTTGATGTATTACTTCGAAGGTAGAACATAAATTCGAATTGTCTGAGAAAAAGTTGCTTGAGGAAGTAACTGGCCTTAAAGAAAGACGTAATAGCTAAAGAATTCAGGAGAAGTTTCGTAATTACACACTCACATAATATATCCCCACATTTTTGTTTCATTTAACAGAATTAAGTTGTCATTTTCACTCGTTCGTGCCCGCTTAACACTAGGTTTCAAGCTTCCAATATGCTACAGTTGTGTGTATTGTTCGCATTTAACCATTTAACACTTAACACAACACGTTTCGGCCATAGATGGCCGTCTTCAGGTGTTTCAATGCTTCTAAACTGCTACACTGCTTTGTTGCGCGCTAAAATCCCGCGTTGCAGTCCACTTAAAATAACATAAATAATTACTTGAAATATTTTACTTTTTTTTCTATTAAAAACTTTCGTAAAACCCTATTCCACTTCATAAAGGGCGTCGTCCACATAGCTTTAAACAAGTGGACGACGCCCCTTACGAGGTTGAATAGGATTTTACGAAAGATTTTAATAGAAAAATTTTAATGGATTTTAATTAATTATTTATGTTATTTTAAGTGGACTGCAACGCGGGATTTTAGCGCGCAACAAAGCAGTGTAACAGTCTGGACGCATTCAAACACCTGAAGACGGCCATCTATGACCGAAACATGTTGTGTTAAGTGTTAAATGGTGAATATTTTAATAATTGTTGAATTGTTGACGGACTAAATACATAGACGTTCAATTAAAGATGTGCAACAGAATGCTGAAATATAGAATTGTAATAAAGGAAATTATTCAGGCAAAGATAGGAGATTGAAATTTTGTTTAAAAATGCGATTTATAGCAGATATTTAGGCAGAAATATCACCGCCATTTTAAGACAACTTATGAGCTGTGCCTCACTAATTAGGATTTGTCTGAAGAGAGCCATCTGATTCTAATCACTGCTCTAATGACGAAACTAAATGCCATATAAATAAGGTTGCTGGCCGTATCAGTTAAGACATCCTTGTAACAGGCAATGGAAACGCGTAGGGTTGTGAGTCGTCGAGTCTCCCACATTTCCGGACAATAGGTTCACACATGGCGGTGAGATTGTTAGCCTACTCCGCAGGCCGCCCTTTACCCGCAGGAAGATTCCTGGTGCTCATTTTTGTTAGAGACTGAGTCGACCCCAGTGCCATAGCGAGGCTGGAATGATTACGTCAATTACGAAATCCAGTGACCTCATCGGGACTCGAATTCGCGACCTTCCGGCTTGCAGCATAGTGCCTCAACCAACTACGTACCCCTGAAGATAAGAGAAAAGTTTAAATTTATTTAAGACTGCTAAGATGAAGAATGGCAAAGGGACATTTCAATCGCCATTTGTTCTGACGTCCCGTCGAGTTCATTGCCACAGAAGGTGACAGGTGGCGTGGACTCACTCACTGAGGCTTCTGACACATTCGTGAGGTGCCAGGACATCAGCTATTCCGACTGAGAGTCTCTGTGGTTTTATTCAGTCCCCTCCGGACAATGCCGGGATATTACTTGTAATTAGGCCAAGAGTGTTTTGTTTCACGTCTTTTCAATCTGTCATTCACTGCCCACCGCTCGATTGACGCTGTACAGTCTGTGCTACTGACAGTGTCGTTATATAAGCCAGACGGAGACAAGGCCACAGTTGCTAAACTGGTCAATAGACTTCTAAGCTTTTGTGAAAATTTAAATTTGCATTGCCGTGTTCTTAACAGTCTGGCAGTGAACCTGATTGTGAAAAATTTTAATTCAAAACACTCTTCAAAACGCTGCTCTTTTAAAGTGGATGTTAATATTAGCCCCCCATAGGAGTACCCTCACTCCGGGTATTCTGATCTCAATGTTATATACTGTGACGTATCCCGGTAACGCGACAAGAAATTAGTGGGTTGCGACTTAGACGAAGCGGTTTATTGGATAACTCATTTACAGTTACAGTCACTCTGAATCGCGTCTTCCA